TCTACACATAAGCTAAATTCAGGTTTTGTTAATGAGCTATAATCTTGGTTTTGTTATCTTATTTTATTTCACAAAATTCTGAAATTTAAGCTGTTCATCTGCCTCCAACTGACCTTCTTTCGTGAGAATGTACCCTGGTCTTGAATCTGTTATGCACAATGTACATATGTTAGTGTAGATAGTAAAGGCCCCGTGCGTTGCTAAGGGAGAGAAAAAAAATCTGCAATGGCCATGACCACATTTTGCTGCATCACCGAGATACACTATTACTCTTAATTTTGTAAAATCACGAACAATTTTGAAATCATGAACATTTTTTTAAACCCATGCACATATTTGAAATCGTGAATTTTTTTCAAATTTGTGGACACTGCAACAAATTTTCGAACATTTTTTAAATCAAGAATATTTTTTAAATCAAGAACATTTTTTGAATTCACTAACATTTTAAAGTATTTGCAAACTTTTTTAAATTGTGAACATTTTTTAAATAATTTTCTTAAATCAGCGAACATTTTTTTTGAAATTAATGGAAATTTTTATGAAATTCATGAACATTTTTTTGATTTAACTAACATTTTTTGAATTGCATTATCATTTTTTGAATAAGCGAACATTTTATGAAGGAATAAGCCATTTTGTAAGTCACAAGCAGTTTTAAAAATTTTATAATATTTTTCCATTCATGAACATTTTTTGAATTGGCCAAACTTGTTAAATTTAATTAAAATTCTTTAATACATGAAATTTAGAAAAAACCAAGAACATTGTTTGATTTCTCAAACATTTGTTTTCCAAATTTTGAACTTTTTTGAATAAGCAATCATTTTTATGCAAATTCACAAACATTTTTTGAATCCAAAAACATTTTATGATTTAATAAAAAAAATTCGAAATTATCATTTTCTGTCGGAACTTTTTTGAAACCCCAAATTATTTAAAGTGGAAAAAATGGAAAAGATAAAGGAAAAAAATCAAAACAATATAAAAACATGTGCGCAAAAGGGCCCGTGCGTTGCACTGTGAAAAAAATCATAATCACCAATGGCCATGACCATATTATGCTACATCATCGAGATACACTATCACTCTTAATTTCATGAAATCATTAACAATTTTTGAAATCATGAACAGTTTTTTAAACTCATGAACATAATTGAAATACTGAACATTTTTCGAATTCGTGAACACTTTTAAATATTTCGAACATTTTATAAAATCAAGAACATTTTTTGAATTCATGTACATTTTAACTGAAACATTTTTTCTAAAAAGTTCTTCAATCACGAACATTTCTTTGTAAATAGGTGGATTTTTTTTTTAAATTCTCAAACATTTTTCTATTTTCCAAACATTTTTTAATGCATGATCATTTTTTGAATTGGCGAACATTTTATGAATGAATAAACTATTCTATAAATTGCGAACCATTTTTTAATTTTTAGGATATTTTCCCATTGATCAACATTTTTGGAATTGGTTAAATTTTGTTCAATTTCATCAAAAAATTTAATACAATAACATTTTAAAGTATGAACATTTTTTATTTCCAGAACATTTGTTTTTAGAATTCTGAACTTTTTTGAATAAGCAAACATTTTTTATAAATTCGCGGCCATTGTTTGGAATCCACAAACATTTTATGATTTATGAAACATTTCATTTCAAAATTCTCATATTTTTAATTGTCAGAAAAAATTTTAAGTCTGAAATTATTTAAAGTAGAAAGAATAAAAACAAAAAAGTAAAAGGAAAAAAATATAAACAGGCCGCCCGAACATGCATCGACCAAAAAGGGTGTGTCGTGTATTCTCCCGGCACGCAAAGCGTACTATAGGAGGTCCCTACTGCATGGGCCGGCCCAGGCGAGGGATTCCCCTGTGTGGAACGTTTTTATCACTTATAGGTGCCATGTGTTTCTCAAAAAAAAGTTATAGGTGGCATTGGTGGGTATTAGTTTGCAACTTTGAGGCAATTTTCATGACGTACCGCCAGAAGCAATATCTCCTTTATTACTAGACTAGATATATAGATACTATTTTGCTCGATAAAAATATTAGAATCTTACTTTAGTTGAGTGCTAATCTAATTGTGCTTGGATAAGGGATATGATACTTTAGTTGAGTGGTAATCTGTTTAGATTCGGTCGACATTTGTCTATTGGCAGATTCGTATGGATTCGGCCCATCTTTATTTTTGTTGGTGTGTTTGTAGGTATGACTCTTTTGATTGTCTAAAAAGAAAGGTATGACTCTTTTGATCTATGCTTCTCTTTGCCGGTGACGCTTATTGTTCTGGCTCGTGGTTTGTCTACTAGAACAGAACAATGTTTTCAGGGTTGATGACAATGGTATCCCTTGTACTCGCTCTTCTAGGGACTTTTGTAGCGCTGTTGTATTATTAATAATAGACCGTTATTTTTTTTAAAAAAAGGGGGCTAGTAATATGTTCTAAAAATGATGATTCTAGACTTAGGATTCAGTCACCTCTTGTTCCTTTTTCCTGGTCTAATTTTGCTTCTAGAACTAGAATCCAAGATTCCTCTCACATGCTCTTCTGTTTTCCACCGTGGGATGCAGATCCAACGGCTCTGGATAACGAACAGCTCATAAGATTCCCGTGCTGCAACTGAATCACACCGGCCGAGGCGATCTACGGCGGCGACGGCGTGCGCCGCCGCAATCCGCCCCAATCCCGCGGGGTCTGTCCGACTGCTCCGGCCACCCCCTTTTCAACCACCCGGACCTCCTCCAGCCGGCATCCTCCGCCGCCCTCCTTCAACGCCGGTGCGTTTCTCCGCGGCGCGCGCGGATGGGCGGGCTGCAGTACGCGGAGGCGTTTCGATCAGTACCCACCTGCCGTTCAGCCGGAGTAGCCCCAGCCATGGCCGACGGGCTCGGCGGCCCCCCTTCCCTCCCTGCACCGCGGTCAGCAACCCAACCACAACTTTCCTTTCCCCTTATTCTAATTCCGTCCAATTGGATCCCTGCGGTCATACTCAGGTTACTGAACTATATTTTGTTACATCATTGTACGATTGTGTCCGCTAGACCACGTAATGGTTCTTCAACCAGATCCATGGAAATTTCTGGCTGACAGTTAAAGTCAAGTAAAGCGCGATATTTTTGCATACACTCTGATTCTGTTGGTATATGTTCCTAGTATGGGCCGTTCAGTTTAGGATCTCTTCAACACGATCTTGATTTGTATTTGTTCCTTTCCTGTAACTGGTCAAGCAGCGGATTCACTCTTAGTATTGGGCTATGGGCCATTCAGTTGGTCATTACATGGTTTTTTTGTCAACTTATGAAACATACAGTGATTCCCTGATGAAAATTGAGGACCGGGCGATAACCCGGTCGTATGCGCGTACCCGCACTCGCCTGGGTTCAACTCCCAGTAGACATGGAATTTAGCCACATCAGAAAATGTTATTCCAATCAGATATCAAAAATCGGTCTGATCCTAGTCATATTGCGAGTTAGAGAGGTAAAAACTAGACTATAACAAAGAAACATGTTGTTAAGGTGACTGCAGGCAAACCAACAGATTCGGCTTCCTTTGTGCACATGTTGTCTTATGCAAGGTCACACCTACTTTCTGTAAGGCATGACTTTGCCGGTCTCAAGTATTACTTTCACTTATTCGATGGTGTTCATATAGTACATTGTTGTATGGTAATATTCTGTGTAATTTCATAGCATCCTTCCAATTTTCTTTTGTTCATCAGGACATCCATGCAGGGACTTGAACTCATGGACATGGCATCATCCTTATTACAATAGACATCCTTGGCCGGCAGAAGTATGGTGACGCAAAGAACCTGGCCACCGCCTGCTCCCTGCATCGGCAAGCAAGCGACGGAGCTTCCAACAGGCGGAAATGCGTGCGTGTTTATGACACAACTGAAGTATGTACCTGATTCTGTTATTCTATCTCTTTTCTTATTTTGTTATGTTCTTACAATTCAAACATAGGTCAGGGACATAGAATACATCCTGTGCGGTTGCCATCAAAGTTGTAGTTGTAGGTTATAGTTAGGCCCTGTTTGGTTCCAAATAAGTCACCAACTTATAAGTCGAAAAGTGAAAAAGTGACTTATTTTACCAACCAGACCCAACTTATAAGTCACCCCAACTTATAAGTTATAAGTTGCTCCACCCCAACTTAAAACTTATAAGGGCCTGTTTGGTTCCAATAAGTCACCTGACTTATAAGTCAGGTGACTTAAAATCAGTCACGCCTGTTTGGTTGTCATCTGACTTATAAGTCACCTGACCACACCTTCCCACCTTGTTTTTTAATGTAAAGGTGATGGGACCCACGTAAAAGGGGGTGACTTATAAGTTTTAAGTTGGGGTGAAGCAACTTATGACTTATAAGTTGGGGTGACTTATAAGTTGGGTCCGTTTGGCAAAATAAGTCACTTTTTGCACTTTTCGACTTATAAGTTGGTGACTTATTTGGAACCAAACAGGGCCTAAGTCACCCCCTTTTGCATGGGTCCCACCACTTTTACATAAAAAAACTAGATGAAAAGGTGTGGTCAGGTGACTTATAAGTCAGGTGACAATCAAACGGGCGTGACTTATAAGTCACTGGTTTTAAGTTACCTGACTTATAAGTCACTGGTTTTAAGTCACCTGACTTATAAGTCAGGTGACTTATTGGAACCAAACAGGCCCTTACTATCCTTCAGAAATAATCACGAGTTGGCCTACCATTATTGTCAGGAACGCACATTATTGTTCATATCGTGTACGTTCGTTTTTTTCCTTAAAAAAAGGGAATGCACACGATAGGGATACATCATGCACAACATCGCAAAATGCTACATAAAGGAGGAGAGTCTTACAATACATCTTGCTAAATTATAGTGTGTCTCTGTAGTACCCAAGGGTCCAAGAGAGTCTTACAATAAAATGCTACATATAACCAAAGGAGGAGAAAGTTAAATGACCAAAGAAAGTGCCAAAGCATAAAAATCACACTGTTTTTGTTCACCTCATAAAATAAAAACTGCTTGGATTTATGTGCATTCTTTCATCCTTCTCTGTGTACTCAGAACTTTGTTCTCTTTCAATTACACTGAGAAAGCTATCCGTCTTGGTATCACGCTGTATCGGAGGATGTTTCGAAAGTTTCCTTAATCTGCTAAGCTCCTCAGACACCTCTTTCATCGAGGGCCTATTGTCACCGCACATTTCCAAGCATTGCTTAGCTAGCTCTGCTACCCCTACAACCAACTCCATGTCCTCATGACCTTTTATTTGATTGTCGAGCATATTATCAAGATTGTTCCCCTTCATAGCCAGTAGGAAACTTGACGACAGGCTCCGGTGTACCTCAGGACCATCGAGTTTCAGTGGTACCTGCCCAGTTAAGATCTCCAGAAGAACAACGCCAAAGCTATAAACATCGCTTTTATCTGTCAAGCAACATGTCTGCATATACTCAGGGTCCAGATAACCACATGTCCCTTGAACCATTGTGACGAACTGAGCGTTGTCAGTTGGTGCTAATATAGATGCCCCAAAATCTGATACCTTTGCCATGTAATTCTCATCAAGAAGGATGTTAGAGGTTTTCACATCACCATGTAAAATTGGTGGGTTTGCATAGGTATGTAAAAATGCAAGCCCCTCAGCTGCCTCATTGACGATCCTTAGAAGAGAACTGAAAGAGAGGTGCAGTTTCCGGCTCTTGCCATGAATAAGATCGAAAAATGTTCCTTTTGGGATGAACTCATATACTAGCATGGGGACTTCCACCTCAAGGCAACACCCCAATAGCTTGACAATGTTCTTGTGATTGATCTGGGAAAGAATCAGTATTTCTTTGCCGAATTCCTTCTTCTGCCTATCATCAACCAATGCACACCTTTTAATTGCCACTGGAGTGATATCCTTAATTATTCCCTTGTACACAGTGCCATGGCCTCCATGTCCAAGAATCTGGCTTTTGTCAAATTTATTTGTTGCTTGTTCCAGTTCTGCTTCACTAAACACTGTAAATGAAAGTCCCTGATCTGATTTCATCTTCTCAAACAATAGCATCCCTCCGTGCTGCTGAAAATACTGATTTTTGACGTTCGCAAGCTTTCTTCTCTCAAATATTACATGTATGCAGTAGATGATAATCACCAGAACGACAGCGCCAATGCTAATGCCTGCAAAAATCAACATGAAAGGTGTTTATGTTAGTCAAATTGATCCCACAGTGTATATACTAAAAGCATGGTAAAGTTTACTTGATGTGGTAAAATTGGCTAAAGGACCGTGATGAGATATGCTTATACCTTCTAAAAAATGCACGGATGCTTGTTTCTGGACTTACTTTTTTTTCAAGTTTCACCATTTCATTTCTTTATTAAAGCTTCCTCAGATAGACTTGTTGCGTGCCTAACACAAGGAAACACACCACTGTGTGCTTTGCTCGTTGAGCCCTCTTTTACTAAAGGTGATTAATATATATACCAGTTGGCCATTGTTTTCTACACAAGAATTAAGCAAATGCTGGAAACATCTAGTGGTTTACCTATGATTAGGGTGATGTCTGGGTTACAAGATTTTGTTTCCATTACGAACTTTCTGCCTGGAGGACATGAACAGCGATACCCTCCTATAGTGTTGTGGCATGTTGTAGACTTTGGGCATATACTTGAATTCTTCTCACATTCATTGGCATCTGCAACAACAAAGAACCAAATTATTTGGGACCAAGTGATTGATTGAATAGGCATATGAGTACGGAGTACCAACAAATACTAATTTTGAAATGCCATAATGAGTGTAACGTGTGCCATTCTTCCACCAAAGTGAACATAAATTACATTGATGGGGGAAAAAGAAGCAAAACAGATTGTAAACTCAAGTAAGTAACGATGTTTTCCTTACAAACTATCAATATGAAAGGATGATGTGCACCCTGTATTACTCCTCATAAAACGATTGTGCATGATCTAAAGATGCACAGGGAGCAAAGAACTGAACTTGCCTCTGCATCCGTCAAAGAGGTAAGGGTTCCCTTCATATCCGTCGGCGCAGTTGCATATATAACCTGGGTCGTTGGTTGAGTCCACACACATGCTATTCCTGCTATGGCACGCGTAAGAAGGCATGTCTCTCGCCATTTCACACGTTGCATTTCCAATCGCCCAGTCCAGCACCAGCGGCTTCTGCCCCTTTTCGGTATCATTGAACCTTGTAGTGGTTATGTACTCCGAGCTGAAACTAAATATCTGTGTCTCCACCACGGCAGCATAGCTGCATTGGTTGAAAAGCGTAGCATTGGAATCATCATAAACATCAAAGAAACTGAATCTATAGCTCCTTAAACCCTTTGGTATATCATTTTGGCAGCAGCCTGCACCAACACAAGAACCGTTTGTCAGGGCTGCCGGGCTCTCACACACCGCTGCGCACGCTGTCGTGTATCTTGTAGTGCTTCTGAAGTCATTGATGTATGCAAGCGTGTTGCAGCCAATAACTATGAGCATGTTGTGTACATGGGAGAAGCGGTACGGACTTCCCGAGAAGTCAAGGGACCAAGCATTCTGTTCCATTGATCTTGTACTTGTATTGTAGCAGTATGTTGAGACGGGCGTGGAAACTCGGATTTGACCATGGGGCACCGAGATGTCCAGAACCTCCACGTTCTCAATCACCATGAACGGCTTGGCGATTCCATCGGCAGTCCTCGGGCAAATGATCTCGAAGCCTTCCATAGCACAGCCAGCACCAATGCCGAATGGGTAAGGGATGTCGACGTCACCACATCGCGTTTGGCATCCGGGGCCAGGCTGCGCTGATGTAGAGGCTAGGTGCAACATGACTGCAACAACTACCAGTAGCTCGAGCGCCATGTTACTTGCCTGAAACTGGAGTTGGCAAGAAGATTCTGCTGCACAGCACTACAGGAAAAGAGTTAAAAAAATCAGTGAGCAAACTAATGGCCATTCAATTCAACTCTGAAAGTTGTAGGCAACACTTCCTGTGTACTTTTCATTTTTCTGTTGTCCAAATATTCCTGAAAATTTTAGCATTGCTGAACAAATTTTAACAATGATTTGTAAATGCTCTGAAAATTTGAGTTGAGCTTGCAGTCGTAATATATAAATGACAAAAATATATATTAATGCTAGATGGCCTTTTCATCTTTTGTTTAACTGTATGCATGTCTAGATTCGAATTGTGCAAAAAAAAAAATCTTGCCTTTGGATTTCTGGCACTAAATTAACATGCATGACTGTATGTGCCTTGCGCAAATATGAAGGCCGTGTTTCTTAGTTGTAAGGTCTTGGATGTTTGCACAGTAAACAGTCTAAATTTTTTACTTCTTAAATACAGACAATCCTTTGCGGGAAGGTTTTGCTGCTGTCCAGGCCATCTTGAAGACTTTGGTGATGCATCTGGTCTGTTAACTTAACATCGCGAAGAGTGTGGCTTATCCTATCTCCTATGCAGAGTGATTTTGGTGGAGTACAAGCTATTTGCCTTGCTGGTATCTGGGTATGCCTCTAAGGTTCAGAAAGCCGAGGAGAACCAAGCTACAGCTGATTGTGCTTGACAAGGCTGCTGGCAAGCTCTCGCCATGGAAAGGGTGCCTTCTCATCAGGGCTGGGAGACTGGTGCTTATTAGCTCGGTGGTCACTGCAACTGCTACCTATTTTCTATCTGCCTTCCTAGAGGAACAAATGGATGATGAAAAAGATGGACAGGCTCAGAAGGAATTTTCTCTGGGGAGCTGATGACCAAAGAGACCATGGAAGGGCACCCAGACTCCATGCGATGAGGCTGACCAACGCCAGGGGCTCGATTTCAGAACTCCAACGCTAGAGTGTGCTCAATTGTTTCCTTGGCTTCCCCAATCGGGGGATGGTGGAGGAGGATTTGCTCGGCTCGCCGAGGCGAGGAGGAGAGATTACTCTGTAGGCATACACTGCCTGGCAGCTGTGGAAAGAGCGAAAGAGGAGGAGGTAGTTGCGGTCGTCTTGGCAGGTTTCGTTAGCTAACTGCAAACAGCTTACACTACTAGCAGACTTGACTAGCAGCGTCGTCGAGAAAGGGGAACGGTGAAAATCCAGAATCGATCAGTTTCGAACAAGAAGTACCTGTGTATGTAGCGATCAAGCGTGCTTCCAACTGAAGAGGATCGCGGTGGTATGCAACAGCTCTGCTCATGAACTCATCTTCAACAGAATGGTCCGTGTTTCAACTCTCTTTTGTTTCCCCTCCGAAAGAAAAAGAGAAAGGAATAGGGCCATTTTTCTACTGGCCTCTTCAGAGTGGAGACTTAGCCAAACTGCATCCGCCCGTTTCGTTTGCCGGGCGGCCAAATGGCAACAGCTCCCCTGACTTGTCTCCATGGAGGTAACGACCGAAATTAGGACTTGTATAATGGCAGTGGAGTGTGCTCATCTGCTGGCGACAACTCTATCAACACTTGAATATAAACATGTTAGTGGTAGCTACACTCCAAACACATACTCCTGTACTGCTCCCTCCGTTTCTAAATATAAGTTTTTTTAGAGATTTCAATATGAACTACATACATATGTATATAAACATATTTTAGAGCGTAGATTTACTCAATTTGCTCCGATGTAGTTCATATTGAAATCTCTAAAAAGATATATATTTATAAACGGAGGGAGTACATCATAAACACAGGACTCCCAACACTATCCACATTGTGTATGATGTTGTTGATGCAAGATTAGTAATCAAGCTTCTTCTTTTTTACATTTTTCTCTCTGAAAAGATTCAGATATGAAGTACTTCCTCCCTTTCTAAATATAAGTCTTTTTAAAGATTTCAATATTTTAGAGTGCGAAAATGCTCCACCTACGGACGACACCTACGGAAACTCTCCTGCGGACAGACTTGGCTGTGTCTAATTCACCACTCCTCCCTCCTGCGGACAGAATTGGCTGCGTCTAATTCACCACTCCTCCCTGAATTTCAGGTGTGGGGCTCTCCTGTCCCCAATCTAATGATGCCACTTTCATCCGTAACCTCCCATCCTTAAAAAAAACGACTGTAAGTGTAGCATTGCTCTTTAGAGTGCAGATTCATCATTTTGCTCCGTATGTAGTCTATATTGAAATCTCTAAAAGGATTAAAAACAAAAAAATATTTTTTACCTTAGGCGAAAGATGGGTTACCTGGTCAACAACCTTGAAACGCCGGTGAGCTCATCTGTCCACCCAGTCTCCGATGGCCCTTGTAGATGCGGGAGGCGCGATGGATGCTGCTCCTCGCCCGTGGGTGAGGAGGTAGTTCGTAAGTTAGGTGTATGCCGACAACATTTCATGGGGATTCTGTTGCCATTTGAAATAAGGTGCCCTCGACCTTTCCCTCGCGCCGACGGCACGCTAGGGGGCTTTGTGGTGGTTAATTTTTTTGTGAGTAAACATCCGATCTAGTTAGCTTCAATCATGACAGTACAACGAACATTAGAAATAATAAAAATTGCATCCAGGTTCATAGACCACCTAGTGATGACTACAAGCACTGAAGCCAGTCGAAAGCGCACCGCCGTCATCGCCCCTTCCTCACGGGAGCATGGCAAACTTGTTGTAGTAGACATTCAGGAAGTCATCATGCTAAGGTTCCATAGGACCCACGCACCAGAACAGCAATCGCCGCTGGTGAAGAGTAGCATTGATCTGAAGGATTCAACCTGAAGACACACGAACATAAACGAACAACGAACAAATCCGAGCAAATCCACCAAAGGCAGATCGCCAGAGACACACCTCCACACGCCCACCGATGATACTGGTTAGGGGTTCTCTTTACTGGTTGCTCAGTGGGGGTTCGGGTGGGATCCTTGAATTTGAGATGGATAGGCAAAGACTAATTGTGATACCTATGCCAGTAAATGACCTCAGGTTTTTCCAATTGTCGCTGATACGGGCAGATGGCCTTGGAATTGGTCTCCTCAATTTATCAGGCTTCAGTGCCCAATTTTGGAAGACAAGGACCAATTGTGATGGTGTTGCTTCATGGGTGTTGGGAAGAACCATTGAAATTGACCAGCTACTTCACTTGGAAGCAGAGGAGATGGGGACTCAAATGATACTAGGGTTTGCTGAGGACAATAATGTGGTTCTCTTGTGGACAATTGATGGTCTTGTCATGTTACAGCTTGAGTCGGTACAGTTTGAGAAAGTCTTGGGAACCAACATCATCGCTTACAATCACTCATTCGAAAGTGTCTATACTGCAGGTAATATCATGGTTTATGTCATGGGTATGATAAAACCAAGTTAATTTTTTATAATTGTTTGATGTAATTCCATTCACACACTTCCGTGTTAATCTATCAATTTTAAGTAGTGTCATATCGGGGTTTTTTGTGGCTTGATGACCTTTCAATGTATGGTGATGCTGTGCTGCAGTGTTCTGCTCTGACGCTTGCATGCCACGGTCTTGTGTAATATTATGATCTACTCCATCCGTTCTTAAATATTTGTCTTTCTAGTCATTTCAAATAGATATCACATCCGAATGTATGTAGACATATTTTAGAGTATAGATTCACTCATTTTGCTTCGTATGTAGTCACTTGTTGAAATATCTAGAAAGACAAATATTTAGGAACGAAGGGAGTAGAAAATACTCCCTCCGTTTCTAAATATAAGTCTTTGTAGAGATTCTACTAGGTGGACTACATACGGAGCAAAATAGATGAATCTACACTTAAAATGCATCTATATACATCCGTATGTGGTTCATAGTGGAATCTCTACAAAGACTTATATTTAGGAACGGAGGGAGTATCTTTTAGTGGTATGTAATTTAACTTACGTTCTGTAGCCAAGCAGTGGGCATTGGCCTAATGTTAACTTCACTCTGTAATGTTTGTGGTTCAAGTCAGAGCTAGCAAACTGTATTTATCACTTTATTATATAAATACCAATACATACAATAAAACAATGAATACCAAGATTTGCAAATTATTTGTGTTATAATTGAACAAAATTTGACTATTGCCTGCGTGTTGACATCTGCAGGAATTGAATGGTTTTAGTGCATAGCTGCAGACCTGCAGTCCAGTTTTTCTCTCAAAATAAGACAATATAACATTGTGAAGTTGAAGATAACTACATGACCACTAGCTTGAACCAACTGACATGTCTAGGTAGCTCAAATACATTGGAAGCTTAAAGATAGCTCTGCTTTTTTCATTCAATATTGTTATCTCATTCTACTAATCTTAAACTCATAATGATGAATTTATTTGAAATATAAAAATATTTTTTCCTTTTTGTCACTTTTATGAGAGTCCCTGCTACAAGTAGCAAGTCATTTTCTACCACAGGGAAAACTAATAAATTCATTTCGTTTTAGGCTAAATTTACTCGGAAGATTATATTTCTATATTTCCAATATGGTGGGGAATGAACGTAGTAATTCTGGATAACTGTCTCTTCTGACAAGCTAATAATAGTCTGAGTGATAATCAGTTTGTGCTCTTTTTTTTGGAATATTCGTTAAATTTGACAGGAGGTCTGGTTTTATTTATCTTTTCTTCGTGCTGCCTCAAATCGATTTCTTTTTTTCTTCCAAACTACAACTGTGAGCTTATCTAAATATCTTGATATGTCCTCGTATCTGTTTGGCTTTTTGTTGGAATGTCGTTGGTTGCTTGACTTTGTATGCTTGCAGAAACAGGCATTGGTGGTGGACATGATGGAGCTGATCTTTTGCACAGGACATAAGATTTTTTTTCCGGTTAGATATGCTATTGTGATGGGTTGAGCAGGTAAGCTTATCTTCTGCAAGCAGGTTCAGGCACTTGAACTCTTCTTAAACAAAATGTTTTGCTTTCCTTTTTACTGCTATTTCTCAAGTACAAGAGAGGACCCAGAGTTTCTCTATGACACTTTGCTTAGCTGTTGCTCAACTGGGCACCTGCCACGCTCTCCTGGCAGGCTATTTATTTGATCTTTTCTGGACACCATGCTTTCTCATCCCTTCATTAGCAGCTCTCCATTCTCTGTATCATGCCTTCACCCACCTCCCTTCTCTCTTGTTTGATGATGTTCTGCCCCCTCTCTATTGGATATGCTCAGTGGCGGAGCCAGAAAAATCAGACGAGGGGGGGCGAGTATTGCTAAACCTTGTTGGGGCAGGCCAATCCATCAAAAAACACCATTTTAGCAGAAAAATAACGGTTTACTATTTATACTATGCTTAAATTAGTGCTCTTTCACTTTCCTTGTTCATCGACCTGCCTTGCTTTCAGTTACCCTCTCATTAGTACTCTCCTAGTTCCTTCTGTTAGTGCAGGTTCTCTGCTGACTGATGACTTAGTACCCTTCCCCTTTTTGTGCATATGTTTGTGCCTGCTCATAGATGAGAATGATGCCATGTTTAGTAGTAACATAACTAAATACATCATGTTTCATGTGCTTCATTGAGGCTCTTTTGTTTTTCTTCTACCATTTGCTACATTGCATTTGGTTATTTTCATGGTTATGGATATATCAAGTCCTAATTTGATTTGTATGTTGTTCCCTCTCATTTGATTTATACTTTCTTTATTTATATGTATTTATAGCTATACCATTTGCCCATTTCACATTGTATATGATATTTGGTACCTAGTGAAATAATGACTGCTACAGTACTTGAAGAGCATGCTTTGCTTTCAGTAAATACTACACCCTCTGTTCCTAATGTAAGACGTTTTTGCAGTTCGAACTGCAAAAACGTCTTACATTTAGGAACAGAGGTAGTACTATTTATCATTTTGCTTGCAGTTATTGCAGTTTTATGGATGATTGTTCTAATGCTAACTGGTTTGCTTAAAAAATTTCTCAGAATATCTGTCAATGCTTGTGTAACTGGCATATGCAACTGCCAGTTATTAGCTATGTTTTGTGGCAGTATATTTTCTCCACATTTGGTCATGTTAAATGTCCAATACTTCGTATCAAGTGCATGATCAAAATGGCCAAATTCACCATAAATGTTACTTTCATCATGAACTGCATATTTTACTAACATTTATCATTAAAGGTGTTGGCCAAAGTATTGTTTTGATGCTGTACAGATTTAGAAAAAATAACATATTATAGAATATAGATTGAAGGAAGTGTATCTACTAATAAGATGATGCACGTTGCACGGTCCCTTATTCAGGCTTCTACTGATAAGAAAAGTATGACAGACGTTTCTCCTTTTCTACCCCATGACCCCTCGTATGCATATCAAAACAAAACAAAAATGTTTTGAATGATTTGATAAGCTAGCCTGTTCAGAATTGGACTCTGATGGGGTTCTTTAAACAACACACTGTTCTACAAATCACCTATTGGTTCTCTATGTTTGTATTGCTGGCATTGTGTTAATGCTGAGAGGATCCTAATTTGGAGGTTCTGGTAGAAGTCCACAATACTAATGAAGCCAACGTTTACTGTTTGAGTTGTACATAAATTGGGTGATGTAACTTTAATAGCTTTCGGATGAATGGCCTGTATAAATTGGTTTGACTGATGAACTTGATTGCTCTGCAGGAGTCTGGAATTACATTCCGGTGGCAGATGCAGAAATGGCTTTTCTGCTGTAGGTTCATCCAGTTTATATGCTATGCGGTCTTCTATAGACATTAGTCAGCTGGCATGAAGACACCATGACTTATTTGGATTTATGATTGGCATTGGCCCTGTCTGTTAATCTCCCGTTACATTTATGCTTGCAAGCATTGAGGCAAGCTAAAGTCTTATGTTCTATGTTGTGTCTGGTCGAGATTGCAACTTGTAATCTCTGCTTAAGCTTTGTCCGATGATGTTACTTCTTTTTTTGCGTGTGTGTGCATACTCTTGGGTTTGTACTATTAGATATAAATTTGTATGTCGAAAAGATAGCGATGCTGCAGTGATGCTATTATGAATTGAGTTTGTACCATGATAGGGCTGTTCTCATTACCCTTGTGTTGTTACCAGAATGCCCAAGATGCTAGTTGTGTTGTACTTTTGTTTGTTGCTGAGGACACGGAAAGTTCGTGTTCTGTTTCGACATGAATTATTTCACTGAATTATTTCACTAGGATTAGATTCAGAAGGTTGTAAGCTGCCTGGAGGTAGTACTGTTTTACCCTCTGCAGCTCTATATATAGCTAAACAATCCCTTAACTATGAAGGTGCTGCGTGTGTTGATGCAGAAACAAAACTGAATGCCTTTTGCAACCGAAAAAAATAAAAAATGAGGAAGAGGAAGAAACAAACATTGTCTGCAGAAACAAAATCAACTCTGTTTAATCTGCTCCTACTAACATATGTTTCTGCCATAGGTGAATCCAAAATAAGTAGTACCTCATCTGGCTAGTTAGCTTACCTTTAGTTTGCATAGCAGCCAAATGTTCCTCAGGTTTGTGGTTTCAAAGGTTAATTGTCTGCATGAATATTTTGAGCGTTGTCAAGCTATAATTTGACATGTTTTTCTGCAAGACTTGTGAAGAATCTTGCTCTTTCTCTGTCGGTGGAGCCTAGTTGAAGATCCCGGTGGGCGCAGCGGTCACGAGGCTTCTTCGTTTTTGTTGATCCGCCATGGTCGGCATTTGTTTCTTTTGCTCTTTTTCTGTCGTTTCTTTTGGGCGTGATTGTGCTGCTTCCGCCCCAGCACCTATCCCTGTATGGTTCGGTTGGTTGCTTTGTATACAAAGCAGGGGAAAACCCTTTTTCGGCAAGAATCTTGCTCATTACCGTCCAACTTTTCCTTGTCTAATTTAGCGCCGCCGTCATATAGCAGAGATTCAGTTTCCTGCGGCTTGATAGGAACATAAGACATAGAAGATAGAATTTCGTACGGATGAAACTTATTTAGTACCAGTAGCAAACGTTCAGCAGGTGGCAAGCATTCACAAGATCAATTGCGGACAGATATACGTAGAACAAGAGAATTACTAAGATTCCCACATGAAATCAGAGATACAATGGCGCTCTTGCTCGACGAATCTGACGAAAGGGCAACTACCTACAGACTACTCATGTTGTCCATGAGAAATGGAACAGAGTACGCACTGGCTAGACTATGGGGATGGGGACGGCTACTCCTTGGTGGCTGCGGTCTTCTTCTTGGGGGACTTGGCGGCGGTCTTCTTCTTGGGCGACTTGGTGGACTCCTTCTCGGCGGCGGCGGGGGACTTCTTGGGGAGCAGCACGGAGTTGATGTTGGGGATGACGCCGCCGTGGGCGATGGTAACGCCGGCGAGCAGCCTGCCGAGCTCCTGGTCGTTGCGGACGGCGAGCAGCAGGTGGCGCGGGATGATGCGCGTCTTCTTGTTGTCCTTGGCCGCGTTGCCGGCCAGCTCCAGGACCTGCGATTCATATCAACCAAGAACGGAATCAGTTAACTGTCAAGCACAAGAGGAACAGAGCAGCAGAACAGACGCTCGAGGGCGGCGAGCGAATATATGCGGTTACCTCGGCGGCGAGGTACTCGAGGACGGCGGCGAGGTAGACGGGGGCGCCGGAGCCGACGCGCTGGGCGTAGCGGCCCTTCTTGAGGTAGCGCCCGATGCGGCCCACGGGGAACTGGAGCCCGGCCTTCACGGAGCGGGTCACCGCCTTCTTCCTCTCGCCGCCCTTCCTTCCGGCCATCTTCTTCTTGCTGCTTCTCCGGCGAATGGGAAACTACTCAAGTGCGGTGGGCTGGGGGCGCTGGATCGGAACACTGCGCGCTGCTCTGCTCTGCTCTGAGATTGTGGGTTATGACGGCGCCGGGGGCTCGGGTTTTATTGGAGGGAGGGAGGTTCGCGGGGAGGGGGTCGATCCGTGGGAGCACGGAATGGACCAATCAGAGCGCAGGGATCTGAATCGTGCATGACACACTTCATCAACTTCGTTTGGACATCGATGTGCTTTGTGAAATTGAATTGGGTTCAAGACTAAACCGGCACCTGTATTCAAATGAGCTTGAATTCTAATTTTGTTGTTTGGTTGTACTGTAGATGCTAGATGGAATTGAATGTGTACCAAAAACAGGGCACCTCTGGCTGCAAATTTGCGTCACGAAAGGAGTTTGCCCAAAAGCAAAATTGATCGTGTATGACATACCTACTAGCTCCTTTCCTTCCCGCGCGACGCCACCGGCCCACCTTCCTTCCAACTTGTGTCACCGCCGCCGGTCACCGGATGGTCTGTCGAGAGCATCGCCGACCTCCTCCAAGACCTCACCGCCATGGCCTCCGACCCCGCACCGCCTCCTTCCGCCATCTTAAAGACCACTGTCCGTCGTGTTGTCTTCACGTCCACACGCCGCTGGAGGGGATGGCCTGGTCGGTAGCCGTCCATAGAAGGCCAAACACACCGCTTAAGCGGCACGGCAAGCGGCCGTCGCGGGATCCCGCACAGCCAGCGTCAGCATCATGGGCAAAGAAGTTGAAGGCTGTTGCAGCAGGCCGCACCATCAAGGCTGCTGTGCTGGTGCACCCCTGCCCACCACCTCCGCCTCCCCCTTTCATGCCACCGACGTCAGAGGTAGAAGAGTTGGCGTCCACAACCCATCTGACGAAATGTCCCAAACGTAAAAAGAAAAAGTCCAATGCACATTTTGTTCGATTCAAATAGTTCATTGCAATTGTTAAATGCAATAGTTCAATGCAAACGCTTCTATTTGTGAGTGTACGTTTCATCAACTAGTCACCTTATTATAGTGCTAACACCTTTAGATATCCCTGCAAACAATGAAGCTTAACATCATTAGAACTGCACAC